TAGAAAAGGGCGTGACACTCAGTCAGGCACTCAGTGCCTTTTTCTCACCCCTCCTAGACAGAACCAATGTACACATTATTTCTCTTTGTCTGAAATAAAGTTGAAAGCTGAAGTTGAAAACATGAACCAGGCTGGCAAGTGGGCTAAGAGGAGACGTGAATCAAGAGAAGGCAAGCGAGCTAGGGAGAGACAGAAAGTTAGGTGGGCAGATTAGGAAGGAAGTTTGTGGGTATAAAGTGGCAGCAGCAAGCACAGGATCGAGTTGATTGGCGGAACATAGGAGAGGCCTTTGTCCTGCAGTGGACGTAGTCAGGCTGATAATGATGAACCAAGCTGGCTCATGCTGTGGATGTGGTTAGTGTGAACACTACCGGAATGAGTGACCTCTGCCACATTCAACCCGGTGCGTTTCCTACCAGGGAAATGGCCACGGCCCATAGTAGTAATCAGCTCCCCCACACCGCCCAGGGCCACACCTACAGAGAGTGAACATTTGCTGCGTCGAATGTGCTCACTCTTGTCAAGTACCTTCCATCAGGGTACGCGTTTTGTGCACAAAAATAGCCACGCTCTTGGACACTAGCGGTAGTGTCTCTCTCATTGGTGATGACACTTTTCGTCTGTGTCATCAAGCTTGCTCAATGCAGCATGCGCTTGAGAACTGCTAACGGAGCATTATTAAAGGGCGTCAGCTTCCGTGCATCTCCAGCTCTCCTTTGCGAGCATGATCTGCACGCAGCGTTTTCAATTTACTGCCTAAGAGTAGCGGTCGCTATCCTACTTGGTCGCGAGTTCATCACACGTGAAAATGTCATTTTAGACTTGGAAAACGACGGCTTCCGATGTACCTGCACAGGGGAATTGCATCGTTTTGTCCCAGCATCATTTTCCCTATATGACGTGCATACCTCGATCCCATTCCTCGGCAAAACTACATTTCCATCTAAGATACTCGAAGCTGTCGACAAAAATCCATTTTAGGATATCCAGAAACGACAGCTCGTGCCCGCACTGGAACCGTTCACGGCCATGTTCACGGAGCAACCTGGCCGCACTCTTGTCTTGCGCCATCGCATTGACACAGGTGACATGTGCCTTTAGAGTTGCAACCCCAGGCTCCTCAGCGCCCACAAGCGAGCCCTACAGGAGATGAGCGACACCAGAGTGGTGAGACTCTCACAGAGCTTTCGGACATCTTCCATTGTTCTAGCGCGGAAAAACGATGGCACCACACGCCTGAACGTAGACTATCGCCCAATTGATGTTCGGGATGCCTATCCTTTCCCCTCGATTGAGTCAATCTAGTCAAGTCTTGGCATTGCACAAGTGAATGCCACACTCGACTGTTCTTGCGGTTTCCTTTGAATCGAAATGGAGCCCACATACATTCTTCAGACCGCATTTACTTGCTATAGAGTGCTTTTCGAGTTTGCCTACACGCCATTTGGCTTAAAGAATTCCCCTAGTTCCTTTCAACGCCTCATGAATATTGTTCTCAACAACACGCGATAAATGTTCGCAATGGCATATAAGGACTATTTCGTCTACTTTTCATGAAAAAAAAAAAAAACTTCTAAAGCACTGACATTGCATGGAGAGGTGCTTTTTTCAACGGAGCAGTACAATAATGCGAGCGTGCCGCAGCTGATCAGTGTGGAGCGTCGAACTGGAAGCAGTCGTATCCCACAGTTCCCTGCGATTGCCCATTTTGCCGGTCACCTATTATATGAACACTGTCAACGAAATTTTGCGATCGCCGCTGATCTGTACAGAGTCCAAACTAATAACATCGCTTACGCATCGTCTGTAAAAAAGTTAGGGACGAACACGGCTGAAACAGAGATGAAATTACCTGCCCGTCACACTAGCGAGAAAGCTCGGGAAGGGCACATGCGATAACATTGCTCTGCGTGCGAGGCCTGTCTGTGAGGCCTGTCGTCGCTTGCTTACGACTTATTTCATCGGGCAAGGGACCATAATACAGTCCTGCAAACCACTCACCTTCCCGCAGTTAGGCCTTCTCTGCTCGTAGCTCGGGCTCTTTTTGGCAACCCTTGCAAAAAAGTTAAAAAAAATCCAGAAAAAAAAAACAAGAATGTTGGAGGAAAAAGGTGAGGATATGGAGAAGAAGCGCTCGGTAAGGGGGATGGGGATAAAAGAGACAGTGAGAGGAGAAAACGATTGTATTAAAAAAAGGGGAAAAAATTAAAAAAAGTTCTGACTTCCGAAAAGGAGAAACGCCGGTTAATCGTGGCGAGCGGCTAAAAAAAGCCCTGCCATTAGGTTAGGCAGAAGCACGGTACAGCTTAGCTCCTTGAGGGAGAGCGGAAAGGGAACGCATAAAGGAAAGGTGTGGTGAAGCATGCACAGTTCTCCTTCCGGGTACAGGTGTGGGAGAGTAAAAGTCCGTTGCATCACCCCCCCTCCCCCCCCTGTCCGCCCGAGTCCTCGCGCACGTCCCTATTATGTCAATGTGAAGGGCTGACTATAAACCCCCCCTCCACCCCAAAGGTTAACAGGGGGAGCGGGTGCGTCCGCACGATGGAACAGCCACAAAAAAGGCCACGAATTCCTCAGTGCGTGTGCCCACTTGCAATTGCGCGCTCGCCCAGCCATCTCACATCAAGCAAGCGCTCCTGTCGGAGCAACACCATGTGAATAGTCTAGGTGGTGTTGGTCGGAGGCGCCGGCTCTTGCCTTACTCCTTTTTTTTCTTTTTTTTTTCTATTTCGCATGCGTTGCGGCACCAGCATTTTACCTTTTTCATGACAGATACAGCGCCTTTAGCGGTGAGAGTTAAAAGCAAACTTGGTGGTTTTCTGGTCAACGCGACAGCGTGCGAACTTGTGCGTTTCTTTGCACCCATTGCCTACAAGATGGTGCACCAACAGGTTTCAGAGGCCAAGAGCCACTAAAAGTGTTTCGGGGAGGGGTCGTTGAAGCGTTTCCGGTACACATGCGCAGATGGTGCCCGTGAAAAAGGTCCATTCAAAATCGCGTGGTAAGTTCAAGCTACGTTCTAGTTGGCATTCCTGGAAAACACTAGCGCGAAACTGAGGGCCAGGTAGAATCTTTTTTGTAAGCCACAATCTCCTCTGATGTGTAATATGAAGCGTAAGCATTCAGCAGTCATCTGTCTGGTACAAAAACTGGTGGCGTGACGGGACGGGGCGTTTGACCGTGTGACTGCCCACTTCCTACATAAGAAAACCAAGAATTTCCACGAAAAGATGTGGCAGCACAGGAATGACCATGGGGGTCACTGCCCTACCTCTGCTACAATAGTTTTCTTTTTTTTTTCATTAATGAGCGTGACCTTCAAAGACTGCACAGCCATGCACGATTTTGCAGCTCCTACTCAGCAGGCAACATGTTCTGGGGCTATTTTCGCATCTCGGAAATGTACATTGAATTCCGTTCAACCTTGCTACCATCCATAAAAAAAAAAGAATCCTTTTTACAATGAGGCCAGACAACTTTTCTCAAGTGGCCAGACAAAGCACTGAACGCGCAGGGCGAAACTGAAGTTTCCGGGAGATTTTTCTATGACCCGTACAACCGGGAGAAACGTTCAAAATACGAGAGTCTCTCAGGTAATCCGGGAGATTTAATAGGTATGCACTTGCACTCACACCTGTAGGAGTGGAACGTTGAGCCTAATGAATAAGAGGGGTATCAGCAATTTTATGGCAAAAATACAAAATTGGAATGATTGACTGTTAGTTCTCAGCATTGACAAAAAAGAGACTTCTTCAGAGGCAGCCCATATGGAAAATTCAGCTTGGAAAATATCCATGTGCTTTTGGAATCAACCACTGCAGGTTTATTTACAACCAAGAGAAAGCCTTCCAGTTGCACTGCAAAACACTAAATAAAAGAAATGTGTTGTTAATTGAATTTCATGAAGATGCCAAGATGATTTAAAATTCTTGACAAAGCTCCGAATGGCACTCTGACATTTTCTTTAGTTCAATGTCTACAGGAAAGTTATTGTTATTGTTTCATGGCCAGAGTTAGCTTACTGCACCACCTCTGGCATTTCCTAGTCTACCTGAATCAAGCCCCCCCCCCCCCTTTTCTTCGTTTCCAGAATAGATCATGGTTTCATATTAAGAAAGTTACAACCTTCTATAGTAATGAGAACTGACAGACAATTGTGCCAAGGAAAGTATAGGAGATATTATTAGAAGTAAATGTAAAAAAATGTGAAATTCATATTTAAGTCATTCCGCATGAGGTCTACCATTGCTCTGAACATATGTCGCTTAGCCTTAATTAATGTTACACTTCAATGTTAAAAATATATGGACATAATATTAAAGAGAACTAACAGATCTTAATATTTTGTCTAACAAAAAAAATGAGCCCTTTGAGTGTGGGCTTGCCCCTCAGTGACGGGGGAAAATACAAAAACCCCAGTGGAGAGCAGTGGAAGACTGCACTGCTAAGCAAAGACCCAGAAGTGAAACTCGAAGTCCTTCAGCAAGCCGAGGAAGCCCCCAGAGCGCAAAATCTCATGGCCGCCATATAGGGGGAGACAATTCTTCCACATCTTACCATTTTCTTTTTCTTTTAAATAAAGTTATTTTCTTCTTATATTTTCACTTTGTTCCTTAAATAAACATGGCTAAATTAGAATTCAGGGAGTGATAAAATGGCACATCTACGTAATGTGACAGCATCCCATTTTCTTAAAAATGGTCAAACCATATGATCACGTTTCCTATAATAGTGCAATGTTCGCTGTACTATTCAACTAAAAGGTCACACAGGTAGGCCGTGTGCAGCGATTATGTACCAATTTCCACATGACACACTTGACACTGAATGTATCAATTACAATTAAAAGGCTTCTGCAAATTATCATATGAATAGGCAAATAACATTCGAGTTGAGGTAAGGTAAACAATAAAATTGATAAGCCACAGCACCAGTGTTGGCACAGCTCTACACCTTCGACAGAGAGCACTGCTGTGAATGTGAGAGAATAGCCTACTTACATGCTATCATAAACAAGACAGCCTGCACATTGCCCCGGTCTCGAGTAAGCAGCGTCAGGCTGAACGTCGCAATGTGGAAGGTCACAAGGCACATCAGCCATGGTTCGGTCCAGTCCACCTGCACAAAGAGTATTTGTGCACACAGGCCTTGTTCTAGCATGCTCTGTGACTGGCAGCTTAATTCAACGGGGTAGGGCAAAATTGAAAAAAAATTATTTCGTTTTTTTTTTGTCAATCTGGAGTGTCTCTTAAGGCATATTTGTCATATCCATGCTTTCCTAAACAGTAATTTTTTTGTGGCCATAAACAAGTTTTTCCCAAAGCAAATACCAAATGAACACATATCCCAGGCCAAGCCGCTCATATGCACTTCTGGGCTTACAGTCCATTTAAAAAAAAAAGGACTGTAAGCCAAAACATACACAAAAGCCAGAACACTTCTATAGAGTCAGCTGTGTGAAGTAAATTGTTAGGTAACTTCTAAGGCATTTAAAAGACTGCGTGAGCATTTACACTTGCACTTAGTCTTCGGAGCGAATCGTCTTGAACACTTTTAGCTTCGAGTTTCATTACACCTTGTGTTTGTCATGCTGATCAATAAGTTCGAGATGTGGAATGGCACCAATGAGTGTGGGGGAGCTGTAGCCTTCTTAAAATTTTTGCCTGCCCCTCCTTTACCCCACCCCCTGAGAAAGCACAGTCGCAACACAACGCATTCGTGCCCAGCCTCTTTGCCGCCTAAAGAAACTCGCTTGTCTTGAGTGCCCCCACCCCAGTAAAGAACTGCTGGCACTGCCTCTATTGACATGCTGAGGGTAACACTGGTCTTCAGCAAGTGCACATTTTGTGGCAAGCAGTACAACCCTTTGTAAATTCAAATAAATGTCAATGGCTAGCTGAGGTGCTGAACGCTGAACGAGCAAGCTCTTAATCGTTGAACCTTTGAGCCTTGGCAGTGTCCTTCCAAGCGAATTGCGTGCAGGGTCTCAATGGGTATGCCCCAACAGACAAGAATAATATGTGGATAAAGCTGTATGACAGCTCACAAAAGAAGCAAGGCAAGCAATACCAGAATCTCCAAAATGAAAAATTGACTTTGGCAATGATTACCAAGCTTGTAGCTGTTATATAAAATTGTTCAATGGTGTTTGTGACAAAGTATGTTTGCTTTTAAGCTGAATTATCTCAAAACCATATATTTTATTAATAAGTACCATTATTTCCTAAGTATTAAAAGATTAACTGTTCGTAATATTTTCCTCTATTCTACATAAAAGTCTCCAACTACTAAAGCAGAATTGAAATGTGCTTTACAGTTTTTGTGTTACAAAGTTTCATGGATACCAATTACGGTATTTTCCGGTGTATAAAACAATTTTTTTTCCACAAAATTTTCGGAGGTGCGCATTATACAACGTCTTACGCCAATTTTTTAAGATAGTTTTTTGTGGGAGAAACTTGTTTTGACACTGATTCGCCTTTTTTATAAACTACTAGAGCAATACGATGCAAATAATGCATCATAATTATAAGAACCAAGACTCAACATGCCTGGTAATTCAATTTTACAACAAAAACAAAAATACAAAATGGCGCTGTGAGAGTTTTCAGCTCACGGAAGCTGTGCGAGTTTCGGAAGCTGCACTTGGCGAAATCGGCGTAAGATGACAATAAGTGCGCCAATCCAACCCAATCAAAGTTCGGTTCGGCTGCAGTGGCTAGAATAGGGATGTGTGGTAAGCGGCAAGCGGCGCCTACGAAGCGCACTGAAGCCTCTGCAGAGGAGCCGCATGGGGGCGCGCGCAGTCATTTAGACGTTGTTTGCACGTTTCCAACAGTTTCATCAGGCGCATTCGTCGTTGTTTCTTTTTGTGCGGTGGCACTCTGACACCAATGCTTCTGTATGCACTATAGGCTACAAGTCAGCTTAAAAGAAGCATGCGTTGTTTAGCATTTCAAAGGACGAAGCTCTGTTTGCGCAGTGGCGGAGAGCGATCTCACGCGCTGACAAGCTCCTTCAAGAAAACTCGGAGTTGTGCGAGCTGCACTTCGATGAGAGGTACATCTCCCAGCACTTCGAGCACACTGAACGGTGAAATTGTCCGTCCATAGGCGTGTGCAGAATTCCCGTTCGGAGGATGGGTGGGTGGGAAGGGAGTCGGGCCAGTCGCCATTTGCAATCTTACTCGTTTAGATGGTCTGCGCTTTTGTTATTTTCTCCTGCAGAACGGCGGCTACGCGTAAAAGTAACACAGCAAAGTGTAAGCTTACCGCTGCTGAAGTATGCTGAGGAGTAAGGGAACTGGACAACGAGCCATCATTTCGACGTCACCAAAAATATGATCCGATCATGGCGACAGTTAACTGACAAGCTTCAGGCCATGAAGAGTGACAAGAAAGCTGACCTGCAGCAAGAAGTCACGATGGCCAGTCCCTGAGGGATGTCTGCACACATGGATACTAGAGCAGCGTGCCCAAGGTTGGGCGATGTCGACAGTGCAGCTGCATCTCAAAGCACAGACGCTAGCGAAGGAGATGGGCGCCGTTGACTTCGTTGGTGGGCTGTCCTGATGCTCAAGATTTATGCATTGCAAAGGGATGGTGATGATGACCCGCACAAGCATGTGCCAAGATCTGCCAGCCAGCCCTGCCACAGTGGTCTAGTGGCTAAGGTACTCGGCTGCTGAGTCGCAGGTCGCGGGATCAAATCCCGGCTGTGGCGGCTGTATTTCCGGTGGAGGCGGAAATGTTGTAGGCCTGTGTATTCAAATTTGGGTGCAAGTTACAGAACCCCAGGTGGCTGAAATTTTCTGAGCCCTCCACTACGGCGTCTCTCATAATCATATGATGGTTTTGGGATGTTAAACCCCACAAATCAATCAAGATCTGCCAGTCAACTTTGAAGACAAGCTTGAGAGATTCCAGGCTTTCATAAAGAAAACCATTGAAGACGATGGCATAGGTGACAGCCATATAATGAATATAGACGAGGTGCCACTAACGCTTGACATGCCAATAGAGAGGAGTGTGGCACTGAAAGGTGACAAGGCCGTCACCATCATGACTAGCGGCCATGAAAAAGCGCACTTCACGGTTGTGCTCCTGTGTTGCGCTGACAAGCAAAAACTTCCGCCAATGCTAATATTTAAGTGCAAGATGATGCCGAAAGAGGCCTTCCCGTCTGGCGTCGTCATAGAAGCGAACGTGAAAGGCTGGATGGACGAAAAAATGATGTGCAAGTGGCTCAAGAAATGCTTTTTTAAGCGACTGGGTGGTTTCTTTCATGCGAAGAAGGGGCTCCTGGTCTTGGATAGTATGCGGGCGCATATAACGGAGCTGACGTTGAAATGCATGAAGGCAAAGAATTTCACCGCTGCCGTTATACCAAGCGGTATGACAAAAATGCTTCAACCACTAGACATTTCAGTGAACCCCAGTTATAAAGCTATTTTGCCGCGCATGTGGGAGTCGTGGATGTCTGACGGCGAGCACAGCTACACTGTGACTGGACGCATGAGGCCTGCTTCATTTTGCGAAGTTGCGAAGTGGATGCGCAGTGTCACAGGCCACCATAATCGCGGGGTTCCATAAGGCATGCCTACTAGCATCCTTGGCCCCTGATCTCGATGATGACAGCAGCAGCAGCGATTCTGAAAACAAAGCAGAGGAGGTCCCAGTGTCGCTGCCGCTAGAGCTCGCTGGGCTATTCCAAAGCGCGTCAGAAGACGAGGACTTTGGGAGTTTCGAAGAATAAAGTGTTTTTCCAGCAGTATGTGAGACGTTTGAGTGGTTGTGCATTACTTTTTTTCTCAAGTTTGGCGTTGTATATGTTTTCTTCAAACTAGCGCTCAGAAACGTTAAGTACGGCATTTTACAATGCACGCTCAACCGCACATCATGAAGTTTCTTTGCAGAAAGCAAGTAATTACAGGTGCGTCTTATACACCGGTGCGTCTATATATCGATTCTTGCATGAAAACTTGCGAGAGGCGGGGGGTGCGTCTTATACAAAGGTGCATCTTACACACCAGAAAATACGGTACCTCAATATTTAGGTTTTTGTGGTAATTTATAATACTAGAATTATTTAAATAAATCTGCTTCAGTTAAAAGAGCAGGAAATGTGGAAAAAATGATATATAAATTAGGCCAATGTCCATACTGGTCGATGAAAAAACAGTACCTCAAAATGGCCAAAAATGCCTGGGACGTATAGCGCTTACCCGGTGCCCTTAATTGTTCTCGCTACACCATTCAACTTAAGTGACTGTGAAAATTTCTTGCACTTTTTCTACTCTAGCTGTTGCAATGTTAAATGTTAAACACAATTGCTGTCACTACATTCAAGCACAGGTACATAGCATGAAGTGATTGAAAACAATCGGGGCCCAACACACCTCCATGGAGAGATCAATTGCGATTAAAACAACCGACAGAAACTTCGATCTTGAAAGAAACTTTTGCTACTCCTGAAGATATAACAATTTGGTTGTGCGACATGATGCATGCACATTGCATGTTATTCCACAGTCCTTATTGGGTCGAAAAAGTTTGGCAAGAAAGTACTTTTGTTAGCTCTCGCCACATACTGGCTCTTAAAACAGGCAATTTTGCTTCCACTGGCAGTTTTCAGGCAAGAAATATTGAAAACAGGCAAAAAGAAAATGTTTTGATAATAGTAACCTAAAGGCTACTGGCACTGCAAATAGGTAGGGACAATAAAATTGATGAACGATTAATTGACTAAAGGTACACCATTAATCAATTATACATAACTGTTTTCTGACATTTAGCAATTCAAACTAATCAATCTAAACTTTTAAATTAAAGGGTTACGGCACCCCGACCCCCATAATAACTTCTCTTGGCCAGAGCGCATGACTGAGAGGCAATCAGCAATCGAGTGCAACTCTTCGTTTTCCTTATAACGCATATTCGTACGCTAGTAGAATGAGCAGGCAGTGCCCCTACTGCATAGATGAAAATGAACTCCCCCTTGTACCAAGCACTCTCGAATACCCAAGACTTCAGGCACAGGCAGAAGGCGGCCCCAACCTGATGAGACCAAAATGCACCTGTCCACTTCTCTCCGCTCAGGGCCTACCGAATTCACCTCCT